TGGTCTCCGTGTCCGGATCAGATTGGGTCAGCGCAGTGTTGTGATGGTACAAATCACATCAAGTAAATTCTGTTTAGATGTTGAAATAAATACAATAATTAAACGTGTGTTCCTAGAAAGGTGTATTTATCTGTAATTTTAGTGATCTTGTTTTTAATTATCCATTGTGATCCAGGAACCTATTACTACTATTTCCATTTCACAGTTAGATTTACTGCTCCAAGTAGAAGTATTTCCCAGTAACTACCCTTTATACTTGCACTGGGTGACAATTCCAGGTATCTACTACCCTTTCTATATCACTGTTAGTGTTTACTGCTTCCGCTGGAAGACTATTCCAGGTATCTACTACCCTTTCTATATCACTGTTAGCGTTTACTGCTTCCGCTGGAAGGCTATTCCAGGTATCTACTACCCTTTCCATATCACTGTTAGTGTTTACTGCTTCCGCTGGAAGGCTATTCCAGGTATCTACTACCCTTTCTATATCACTGTTAGCGTTTACTGCTTCCGCTGGAAGGCTATTCCAGGTATCTACTACCATTTTTATATCACTGTTAGCGTTTACTGCTTCCGCTGGAAGACCATTCCAGGTATCTACTACCCTTTTTATATCACTGTTAGTGTTTACTGCTTCCGCTGGAAGGCTATTCCAGGTATCTACTACCCTTTCTATATCACTGTTAGCGTTTACTGCTTCCGCTGGAAGGCTATTCCAGGTATCTACTACCCTTTCTATATCACTGTTAGCGTTTACTGCTTCCGCTGGAAGGCTATTCCAGGTATCTACTACCCTTTCTATATCACTGTTAGCGTTTACTGCTTCCGCTGGAAGGCTATTCCAGGTATCTACTACCCTTTCCATATCACTGTTAGTGTTTACTGCTTCCGCTGGAAGGCTATTCCAGGTATCTACTACCCTTTCCATATCACTGTTAGTGTTTACTGCTTCCGCTGAAAGGCTATTCCAGGTATCTACTACCCTTTCTATATCACTGTTAGCGTTTACTGCTTCCGCTGGAAGGCTATTCCAGGTATCTACTACCATTTTTATATCACTGTTAGCGTTTACTGCTTCCGCTGGAAGACCATTCCAGGTATCTACTACCCTTTTTATATCACTGTTAGTGTTTACTGCTTCCGCTGGAAGGCTATTCCAGGTATCTACTACCCTTTCCATATCACTGTTAGCGTTTACTGCTTCCGCTGGAAGGCTATTCCAGGTATCTACTACCCTTTCTATATCACTGTTAGCGTTTACTGCTTCCGCTGGAAGGCTATTCCAGGTATCTACTACCCTTTCTATATCACTGTTAGCGTTTACTGCTTCCGCTGGAAGACCATTCCAGGTATCTACTACCCTTTTTATATCACTGTTAGCGTTTACTGCTTCCGCTGGAAGGCTATTCCAGGTATCTACTACCCTTTCTATATCACTGTTAGCGTTTACTGCTTCCGCTGGAAGGCTATTCCAGGTATCTACTACCCTTTCTATATCACTGTTAGCGTTTACTGCTTCCGCTGGAAGGCTATTCCAGGTATCTACTACCCTTTCTATATCACTGTTAGTGTTTACTGCCTCCACTTGAAGTCTGTTTCAAGTATCTACTTCTTTATCACTGCTGGTCTTTACAACTTCCAGTGGAAAGTCATTCCACTTCTATATCACCATTAGTCTATACAACTTCCAATGGAAGGCCATTCCATATATCTACTACACTTTTTATATCACTGTTTGTAATTACTTGAAGTGGAAATTCATTCCTTGTAATTACAACCTGTTGTGTAAGTTCTATTCTCCCGTGATAGTGACACATTATTAGCTTCCTCTCTTGCATACATTCTGGGTTGTTTGGTGCAAGGCGTGCCTAATTCTGACAGTCAGATTTTCCAAGAGGATCCAGCACCTTTTCAGGCAGTTTTGGTGCTGGATAAGAGGAAATGGCTTTTACACAATCTCTGAGCGGCGTTTCAAGTGACCTCATATGAAAGAGGTAAAGTAATGGCCAACACGTACCATCATATTAAAAACAATAGTTAGGAGATGCTAATCTGCTCTGTTAGGCTACGGAATAATATAATAACGCCACTCAGCATAAGGTGAATACGTATGTGCCATTTGGGAATCTTTAGATGTCTGTGTCTACTCTCGCTGAATCCCTGGAGAAAAGTCATTTGGGGTAACTGGCTCGTTCCTTGACCTAAGTTACAGACACCACTCGAGGTGAATGACCGGTTACACAATGGGGAAGTAAAAAAGATTGCAGACTGATAAATGATGGCGTCCGCCCAGCACTGTGTAGGTGGCAGATTAATCTTTCATAGCAGACAGAAATGTTACTGTTACATTGTATAATGGTAGCAGATTCAATGGGGCTTATTTATTAAACGGGGAACTGTGGAGGACTCCTAACACAATTTAAAATGTCAGGCCAAACAGGCTGAATTTGAAAAGTAGATTTTGATTAGTTTGGCCTGAGCACTTGCAAGTCCCAATTTAGTGCCTAACCCCACGGTGCCATGACCCTCTTTGCACCATTGGGAATGAGTGGATGCTACTTTGGTGAATTCTGGAGTCTCTGACCGTTGTTTGTGACGGTTGTTTATAAAAGTGGCAATTTTAATAGAAATCAGCAATTTTATAATTAGTAGGGAGAAACGTCTCTACTCTACACAACCCTGATTGTGTGTTGACTGTTCTACTGGCTTACACTTTTATGAGGCTAAATTGTCAAATTTTATTCCCTTTCAATTCAACGCTGGTGCCAATTGCTGTGACCTGGTGAAAAAAAAAAAAAATTCTTATTATGCTACCTCTGTCACCAGGAAAGCATGCAACTTAACTGGTTCTGAGCTCATCCCTGATAATTCACTCGGAACTGGGGTTCCCCTTTTCTTGGAGGTGATGAGAACTGATTGTACAGTTATTTCTATGATAAGGCCGCGATAGTGCTCGCCGCCTGTGAGTCAAAAGTTATGTGTTTCTGTTTCGTTCTACATTGTCTTGCTCTTTTTTTTTTTCTCGTTCATGATTGTTCTACTGGTTCTTCCATGGTCTTCCATGGTGATTAGCATATAATCACTTTAGTTTTATCTAGATATCTGGTTTCTTAAATGGTGCAATTATGAAGCAATTATCTAGATAATTGTTGTCATACTTTGTATTGAAATCTATTGTAATGTTATTGTGTGTCTATTATAAGTTAAATCTGCATATAAATGGCAGGGATAATACAATGACTTCTGCATGATCACACACCTAGACTAGTGATGTCATTTTAAATGTGCCCAATGACCTCATCACACAGTTGTGAAGGATCTGGCACTGATGGGAATATGTACATTGACCGTGCTATTCAGCAAAGTGAGAATTGTTGGGAATTTTATTTAACATTTAGGGCCAAAAAAGCTGAATTGGAAGCATAGTTGTCTTGGGTACTCATGTCATGTTTACCTGTTTTAGCCTTAAATTTTAAATTCAGTTTAATTTTATTTTGTATTCCTGACAATTCTCACTTTAGCTAATAACCATGTAAGTTTTATACACTTTTCACCCCCCTCTGAATGACTTATCTTAAAGAAGTAACTGATATTTCTTCCATGCTCAGGGCTATTGGGGACGAGTCTCTTATAGTCTTAGCGGCTCAGATGGGCAAGGAGCACTTTATATACCACATCCCCCAAATTAAATTAATACCTTCAGTTGGATCAGACATCTCGCTTGCATTTTTTTTACAAGTATCGCTTGTTAAACTGTAGGGCTGCATTTATACAACAATGCTGGTAGATGTGTAAATTAACCAAATCAGAATGTACCATATTTAGGTGAACAGCAGCAAGTGATGAGGGGCTTGCTCAAACACACTTATTAACTAGATGTGTGCAACCCCAACCCTGAGCATCATGGGATTTGTACTACTTTCTTATATTTCTTACGCTTGACCAAACTCAACAAGTGGCAGAGCTAATGCCATCACGTTTTGTCATTCCCCTCAGCTGTCACTAGTTTAACTTGCCTTCCTGTGCACCCTGTGGCCACCAGACAGCCAGCCAAGCAGTCACCACCGGGGTTTTTACAAAATACACAAAGACTCCAGACTGTGACAGAGCCGCTTTAAAGGGAAAGATTTTAATAGAGTAAGACAAGGCATGATATAATACTGAGGTAGATCCATGGAAATCCTGTATGGATGCATTTATTACCTGGAAGACCGGTTAAAGAGACAATGAAATCATCATGCGTTAGTTGCACAGTGTTTTTGCTCATGAATGAAGGGTGGGTAAGGAGAGATCCATGTTCGGATTCACACTTGATAAAGGAAATCTTAAAGGCACACTCTGAGCACCATAACCACTTCATTGGAATTAAGTGGTTATGGTACAATGACACAGTCTTACCTTCCAGTGTTTTTAGCATTCAATTTAGCACCTTTGGAAGCAGTGATACTATTATTGGCTACCCATCCTGAGTACTGCTTAGAAAATTTATTTTTACTTGCAGTAGGGTGTGTCGGACACTTTATTCAGTACAAGTATCCAAATATTCACTAGTATATTTATGTCCCAGGGTTCTCGGCTTATACAGGTGAGTGATCTCCTCCAACCATTAGCAGTATATACCAGGGACCAAGTGCTCTCCTATACCAGCACCTGAGGGTTCCCTGCTTATACCAGTGACCAATCACTGTCTTCTGACCCAGTAGCACTGCACAAGTGTTGTCTGGTTAATCCCAGCTCCTGGGGTTTTCTGCTTATACTAGATAATCATTATTTTCCTTTACCCTAAGTGTTCTCTGTGACCTGATACCAGGGGCTACATTTTTTTCCTAGACCAAATATCTGCTTTTAACATTGAACAAGTTCTGTCTTTGACCCAATACCCAGTCAGCCATGCGACCCACTTCTCTCAGAGCAAGTGTTACTTTTTTTTTCCAATGTTTTTTTTTTTTTTTAAACAATCACATATTAAAATAAGCAAATTGAAGCAAGTGGTGTTGTACAAAATATTTTTTTATTTGAAACACAAAATTTGCAACATAATAAAATTATTAAATAACTACAAAAGCTGCACTCACAATTTCAGTACCAAGATGACAAACACGCACAGTGTGTGCACATAATGAAATAAAATCCAGTTTGCGCACTCATTTACCATATTACTTGGCTGTTGACTTGGCGTTTGTCACCTTCTGAAATAAATGTACTTTGTTTACACGAATATAATACAATCAGATTTCCAACAATGAAAAATGGTCACAATAATAAATAAATACTAAAAAAACGATACAACCATTTGATTAGCTGCAAACTTCCAAATGCAGCTCATAGGTTTAAACATTTAAATATTACTTAAATAAATATTATAAAATAATAAAAACAAAATAATTATGGCAATCAAATCAAGAAGTTTTAAACTTTTTTTTTCTTTTTTTGTTCTATCAAACAATTTTTTTTTTTTCCCTCTTCAAAGACACCTTTTTAGAATAAATATTATTTTACAAGCAAATAGCTATATTATAGCTTTACGGAATAGGCTATTCTGATTCGAAATGAGGTTTCGTTGTTCTGTAAGATTAATGTTTTGAAACTAGACTGCCAAGTTGCAGTTAAATAGTTAAACATTGCTGCCGAAAAATTCAGTGTGTGTCTGACAGCAAGTGATATTTATCAAGATACCTTATAATCATTAAATAGCGGGATCGTACGATGTCTTTCTGATCCATTAAACTTGTGCTTTTATTGATTTAAATCATGGCACAATGCTGGCACTGAAATGGTTAAATCAGGCTTGCCCAACACAGGTCTTGCTTGCTTCTACCTTTTTATTTTAAGTGTATTAACCCCGCAGCAGGCAGCAGGCAGAGCAGTGCTGTTGGCATCGAGGATTGCAGTCGGACAAGCATGGTTTAGGTAAAAGTTAAATTCTCAGCATTTTTTAATTAGAAATAAAATCTGTTTAATTTTAGCACCCAGCTCCCTAAAATGAAACCATAACTAAAAACTCAACAGATTCAGGTGAAAGCCAGTTGGTGAAATGATGAAAAATCGACCTAAATTAGGGCCCTTTTTGGTAAGATTGACTGTATTGGAGATAAAATAATATGAGCAATATATCTCATGTAATGAAATCCGCCACATTCTAGAAATCTGGTTGGCAGAAGAAAAGTGTTATTTGACCCAATATAAATCTGGTGCTGAAATAATTTCCACAATAGGTCTCTGCCAAACAGATTCATTATATCCCCAATAATCTAATAGCCAATAGCAAATACATAGTTAAAAACCTCATCTCAACTAATATAAATATAATTAGAAATGTTTTATAACAAACAAACTTTGTGTGACATGGTCACGACACAGGGTTCTAAGTGCAGGAATAAGAACTCCATGGGAGCGATCTAATCCCTACGTGGTATGGTCAGTAACGTGGCTTGGCGCATGTACAGGCCACGGGAACATTTATGTAATCCACCTCAAAGGCGTACTTTGATTTATCGTGTGCGCATGTCTTCCTGCGCAGGACCAGCATGGTTTGCTCAACCGGCACTGAAACTAGGCTGTGGTTTTCGGATACTCTTGTTCCATGGGTGTGAATGCATCCTTTACACAAGCAGTGTGCAAAGGCCAACTTCTGTGGGTATCTGGTCTCATCTGTGTCAATTCTAAAATAAAAAGAAAACCAAGATTTGTGAGATACAGTATCATGCGTGGACCTACACTAAAGGCATTCATTGCTTTTGATACCCATCAGTGTTTGTTATTCATTGTAGCAGAATTAGTTTTTTTTTTTGAGATTTAATAATGCCTTATGTTTTCTTCACTAAACAGAAATATCGCCACTGTAAATATCCCTCACCATTTCTCAATAGTACATGAAATTGCAGAGCCTTTGAAGTGGCTGAAAGGCGTAACTGATATAAATAAACATTATTTTAACATTGCCATGTGTTGCTGCTTGCTGGTGATTTTAGTAATCGTCATATAGAAAATAATATTCTGGAATGAGTTATTTTCTTAAATTCTTGTATTAATAATCCTTTCCTTTGTTATAATATAAGAATTTTGTAGGTGTTAAAGTTCTGGTGAGCAGGACTTCACTCCTTAAAATGCAAATAAATTGATGTAGGAAAAGAATAAAAATATATAGAAAAAATTGCAGAGAGTCTACCATGCTTCGTGAGAACTGATAAGAACATACGGATAAATGTGGCCTTTCTAAATGATGTAGGGGATGTATTTAAAGCATCTCATATTTTTCTATGTAGAAGGATGAAGAGGATTGGTCTTTCTACTTACCGGTACTCCCATGGAGAAATAGAACGGTCTTTGATGTCATCACGATTTGCGGCAAATTCATTGATGGGGCAGCCCTGGCCCTGTTCTCTCTTGCGTCTTCTCTTTCCCCCATCCCTCCCCTCGCCGTTCTCAATATTGGAGACAAGTTTTACTGTAATATGGTTATTCCAGTTCATCTTCCTGCCGGCAAAGCGATTGATCATAGTACTGGGTACTCCTTCCTCCGCCGTGTAGCAGTGATGGTCATCGTGGTTATGGTGATGTTCGTGGATATGGTGTTCACGAAGACCATGCTTCCCAGCTTTAGCTCCTTTGATGGCCTCACAGATATTCGTAGACATTAGGGCAAAAATGCAAAGTATCCACTAAAGAGGAATAAAAAAAATGGAAATGGTAAATACCAAACAAAGGAAAATTCTCATTTAATAATATAACATCATATTGATCAATTAAGCATCATTTCAGATATTTGCTGCCGAGGTGGACCTCCTTTTCACTGACCGGGCCATTCTAAAGTGCAAATTTCAAACTAGCCAATCTCAAAACACAGCACGTTAAAGACATTTTTTTTCTTTTTGGCTATTGCGATTTATAATATAAAAAATTCACCTTAGTGAATAAACCCCCTGCTAGTTCTTTTCTTTCTATCCAATTGTACATTTTACTGACCAGCAATCTTCGCTGAGATTACTGGGAGTTTGAATCCAGGGCAGGTGGATTTGGCTTCTCAGGACCAGTTTTGGTCCATTCCGCTTACAGCATCAGTGCTAGAGTGAGAGCCTGCTGGAGCAGTAGCTCCTGACATACATTGTGCACATGGTACACAGGAAAATCAAACCGTGACAATCCCACAAAGAAAAGCAAATGTAACATTCTCAACATTCTCGGACAGCCATGTTCAGATAGCATAGATTGTCTACAAATCCACAGCCTTGCACAAAGCCTCTTACCATTGCAGACACCACATCCATGAAGGTAACCTGCCTTCTGACCATGTCTTAGCTGTTTGTTAGAGGTGCAGATAGAATTGATCTCTCCACCTAGGTTGGCAATGCCAGCTGTGTATTACTGTCTTGCTTCTCATTTTCACAGTATATATATATATTCAACACTCCACCTCCCTCGGAAAATCCAGGTGAGATACAAGGACAGCCCTTATTCTGACGTAAAAGGAAGCTTAGAATTTACATGCAATTCACTTCCTTGTTAACTACAGGTGACCTGTGCATTGGCTGATACTTCGTATTCTGCAATAACTCAGCTGATGAATTTTTTATTCTTCTTCGTTTGAGGCTATTTTTATTTTCAAAAGGAATTTCTTTCTTTTTTTTTTTTTTATAATCTATTACCATCAATTAGTGTAAACCTGCAGGCTACGCACTGTAACGCTCTGCAATCTACCCTCCCAGGCATTTTTATGTAACCTCCCACTGTGTGTTTTGGGAGAAATTCCGTGGCTGTGATTTTTAAAGTGCCTTCGCTCACTCACATGCCATTGCTGTAATACAAACAAACAAAAAAAACCAGCAAATGAATACGTACAGTGCAAACCAGGACTCTCCTTCAATATCTTTATTGTTGTGGTTTTATCTTCCTAGATAAATAATTGCATCACATGTAATGTCCGTGTTTAAGGGATGCAGAGAATGTATACCAGGAGTTATAACCTGAATGCAGAAATTAACATTTTGGGACTAGATCCAATCCTATACATTTTGTATTACTGTGCATTATTGTGGTGGAGCTCTGTGATAGAATTCATATTACTGGAAGCTGTATTACCTTGGAGCTCTGTGATACACATATACACTGCACATTACAGAGCGTTGTATTGCAGTGGAGCTCTGTGATACAAACCTGGCTGCTGTATTTGGCTACACAGACAAAGAGATGCATTTTGATTCATTCCCCCAGCCCCTCATGTGTTTCATTCTTCCAGCTCCCCTCATGTCTTTTTCCCCCAGTCCTCCTCATGTGTCTCATTCGCCCAGCCCCCCGTGTGTCTCATTCCCCCCCAGCTCTACCCAATGTGTCTCATTCCCCCAGCTCCCCCAATATGTCTTATTCACCCAGTCCCCCATTTTTCTCATTCTTCCAGCTCCCCTCGTGTCCTTTTGCCCATTTGTCTCCATTCCCCCAGTTACCCTTAATGTCTCATTCCCCTAGCTTTCCCATGTCTTTTTCCCTAGTCCCCCTCATGTGTTTCATTCTACCAGCCCCCCCAAATGTGTGTCATTCCCCCAGCTCCCTCAATGTGTCTCATTCTCTCATCTCCCCCAATGCGTTTTATTACCTTAGCTCCCCCAATGTGTCTGATTCCTTTAGCTCCCCCCAATGTGTCTGATTCCTTTAGCTCTCCCCAATGTGTCTTATTCCCCTAGCTGCCCCCAATGTGTCTTATTCCCCTAGCTGCCCCCAATGTGTCTCATTCCCCCAGCTCCCCCAATGTCTCATTCCCCTAGCTCCCCCCAATGTGTCTCATTCTCTCATCTCCCCCAATGCGTTTTATTACCTTAGCTCCCCCAATGTGTCTAATTTCTTTAGCTCCCCCCAATGTGTCTGATTCCTTTAGCTCTCCCCAATGTGTCTTATTCCCCTAGCTGCCCCCAATGTGTCTCATTCCCCTAGCTCTCCCCAATGTGTCTCATTCTCCCAGCTCCCCCCAATGTGTCTTATTCCCCTAGCTCTCCCCAATGTGTCTCATTCCCCCAGCTCCCCATGTCTTTTTCCCCAGTCCACCTCATGTGTCTCATTCCCCTAGCTCCCCCCAATGTGTCTAATTTATTTAGCTCCCCCAATGTGTCTGATTCCTTTAGCTCTCCCCAATGTGTCTCATTCCCCCAGCTCCCCCAAATGTCTCATTCCCTAGCTCCACCAATGTGTCTCATTCTTTTAGCTCCCCCAATGTGTCTCATTCATTTAGCTCCCCCAAAATGTCTCATTCCTTTAGTTCCCCCCAATATGTCTCATTCCCCCAGCTCCCCCAAATGTGTCTCATTCCCCCAGTCCACCAATGTGTCTCATTCCCCCAGTTCCCCCCAATGTGTCTCATTCCTTTAGTTCCTCCCAATGTGTCTCATTCCCCCTGGCTCCCCCCCCAATGTGTCTCATTCCCCTAGCTCCCCAATGTGTCTCATTCCCCCAGCTCCCCAATGTCTCATTCTCCCAGTCCATCAATGTGGCTCATTCCCTAGCTCCTCCCAATGTGTCTCGTTCCTGTCCCCCCAATGTGTCTCATTCCCCTAGCTCCCCCCAATGTGTCTCATTCCCCCAGCTCCCCCAATGTCTCATTCTCCCAGTCCACCAATGTGGCTCATTCCCCTAGCTCCTCCCAATGTGTCTCATTCCCCTAGCTCCCCCAATGTGTCTCATTCCCCTAGCTCCTCTCAATGTGTCTGATTCCCCTGGCTCCCCAATGTGTCTCATTCCCCCTGGCTCCCCCCCCAATGTGTCTCATTCCCCCAGCTCCCCCAATGTCTCATTCTCTCAGTCCACCAATGTGGCCCATTCCCCTAGCTCCTCCATTTGTCACCTTCCCCTAGTCCCCCATGGGTCTCATCACCCAGCTCTCCCCAATGTGTCTCATTTCCCCAGTCTCCTCAATGTGTCTCTTTCCCCAGTCCTCCTGGTGTGTCTCATTCTTTCAGCTCTCCTCATGTGACTTTTCCCCCCAGTCCCCTCATGTCTCATTCCCCCAGCTACCCCAATGTTCTCATTCTCTCACCCCCGAGCTCCCCTCATGTGTCTCCCCCAAGTCCCTCTCATGTTTCTCATTCCCACATTTCCTCATTCCGCCAGTTTCCCCCAATGTATCTCATTTCCCTAGCACCCCATGTCTCATTCTCCCAGTACCCCACTCTCCCCAATGTGTCTCATCCCTCCCCCCCAGTCACCCATGTGTCTCATTCCCCCCCCAACCCCCCTTGTGTCTCGTTCCCCCGGCTCCCCCTAATGTGTCTCATTCCCACAGCCCTCCAATGTGTCTCAGTCCCCCATGTGTCTCAATCTTCCACCTCCCCCAATGTTCTAATTCACCCCAGCTCCCCCAATGTGTCTTGTTCCCCCCGTCCCCATGTGTCTCATTCTTCCAGACCGCCCTCATGTGTCTTTTTCCCCCAGCCTCTCCTCATGTGTCTCATTACCCTCAGCTCCCCCAAATGTGTCTCATTCTCTAAGGTCCCCAGCCCTCCCAATGTGTCTCATTCCCCCAGGCTTCCAGCACCCCACCATGTGTCTCATTCCCCAGGCCCCAAGAACCCCCCCCCCCATGTGTCTCATTCCCAAGCCCCAGCACCCCCCATATGTCTCATTCCCCAAAGCCCCCAGCACCCCCCTCCCCCCCCACCCCCAATGTGTCTCATTCTCATAGCTTTCATAATGCATTGAAAAATTAATAAAACACTGTTGTACCTTTCATAAAATAAATTGATGCTATTTTTCCTGTCTCCTCACCTCCCTAGGGTGGGGGGGGGGAACGGGGACAAGCTTCAGTAACCTCTCCCTGGTGTAACAGGAAGTAGTTCAGCGCTCCCTGTGCGCACTTCATGTGTCAAACCGGGATAGAGGTTACAGATGCTCCTCTGCCCTGGTCCACGGCTTGGCTACTCTACACTACAAATCATATTACTGCAAGTTGTATTGCTGTGAAGCTCTGTGATACACATATATACACTGCACCTTGCAGAGTTTTATTGCAGTGGAGCTCTGTGATGCTTCATATTACTCATACAGAACAAATATTCTGCTACCCTAGAAAAGGGAGACACTTGGTAAGAAAATAAAAAACGTTACTGAATCTGGGGACATTCTAAATCTTCTGACACGGAATATTCCATGTATTAACTTGTCTGTTCAAGTGGACTACATCTACCCTGATGCTTTGCCAGCATTATAGCTTTAAAAGCATTGTGGGAGATGGAGTCCACACAACATCTGGAGTGCTGAAGGTTACCTAACCCTGCTCTAAAAGCATTTAATCAGATACAGAGCTCAACCGCAATAAAGCTCACTGGAATATGGCGTCACGAGTGTATCACAGAGCTCCACAGCTATAAAACTCAGATAATCACAGTAATACTATTTAATTCCCTGAAAATTAAAACCATGATGGGACTTTAAACTATAGTAAGTGTAATTAGACATTTTTCGTAGATAAAATGCTTTGTTTTCATTCTAAATAATTTGTGCAACTCCCTAAATGGCTATCTACTGGTCACGAAGACACCTGTAAATTTACACAATAGTCCTCCCCAACAAGACAGAATGACCATTCATGGTCATTTAATATGTTGGGAGGTGTTTGATTTTGATTTGTCAATGTTTATTGCGCTTTATAAAATACCGCAAGCATTTTATGTCTTCATGCCGTCAGATAAGTGACATTTCATTTTATAGAACATTACAAACAACTTTTTCATACTTACACTTCACTGACTTGGCAATCCGAAACAGCCTGAGTTACTGGGCAAACGGAAGTGTTGTGAATGATTGATTAACAATCTTGTTGGTTTTTTTTTAAATGATGATGCCATATAAGATTTTATCAAAGCAGTTGTTTGTTGATATTTAAAGGACCACTCTAGGCACCCAGACCACTTCAGCTTAATGAGGTGGTCTGGGTGCCAGGTCCTTCTAGGGTTAACCCATTTTTTAATAAACATAGCAGTTTCAGAGAAACTGCTATGTTTATGAATGGGTTAAGCCTTCCCCCTAAAGCCTCTAGTGGCTGTCTCACTGACAGCCACTAGAGGCGCTTGCGTGCTTCTCACTGTGATTTTCACAGTGAGAGCACGCCAGCGTCCATAGGAAAATGCTTTCCTATGCGACCGGCTGAATGCGCGCGCAGCTCTTGCCGCGCGTGCGCATTCAGCCGGCGGGGAGGATCGGAGGAGGAGAGAAGGAGGAGAGCTCTCCGCCCAGCGCTGGAAAAAGGTAAGTTTTTACCCCTTTCCAGAGCCAGGCGGTGTATTGTCCTTTAAACAATACACAAATAGCCAAAAATGAGTGGTGCCCAAGTAAATATTAAGGGGCACCCTAGGCACCATAACAACAGAGTGTGAAAGGTATGTATCTTTTCCACTCCATTTTGTGAATGGAGCGCTGCTGACTCTTTCAGCCAGCGTCCGACACCCT